ATGTCATCTTCTCTAAAAGTTGGATGGGGAGAAGGAGCACGATAAGTCGAGTAACTCGTGGAAGCAGATCTATCTGATACAATCTCTCCATGAAAGATCCATTTTTTATACCCCCGAACAAATCCAAAAATTACTAGATGCTCGTACACAACTTCACGAATGTGCCAATTAATGTTCACACAATTCTTACAAGGGCAAAGAATCATATTTTCTTGGCTTGCATTCAGAAAAGTTAAATTTAGAAAGTTTTCGACTCAATTTCGATATTCGACGCTTACCCTTGAGAAATCCATCCAACTCTTATCCATTTTGTATTTCTGGAGTTTCAATTTCAAATGTTATTTGCTAATAATATAGATAAAATTAGAACCTAAACAGAAGCATTAAATTATCATATTTAGTGCATAATAATATTTGCATAGTATAAAACTAATCACTCGTAAATTATACAACTTTTAAATTGATAAAATTGTATGGGAGCAAATGTATCTCAGTTAATTTATAAAAATTATAACGAGAATTATATATAACTGCATACTATAGAATTAAATACTTACACATGTTTCATCGAAATGTAGCATTTACATCTAAACAGACTCATGTTTCATTGTTACAGAGAGAGGCATTAAGAACTTAGAACGAAATATAAACCCTTCCCACAACCGTGTTAAGATCTATAAAACTTTTTACTTACATTTTGAGCAAACAAAGCTTATCATGCAACCAAAAAATCTTTGTTAACAACAATGCAACAATAAAATAATTAGACTTTCCAGTTTTCCATGAAACATTAGCTTATTAGCAGCAAAATCCGAAAAGAAGGATGTGTTATGTAGGAGGGTGGGTGAACAATCTATAATTTTGCATTCGTTAGTCATATTAAGTTTATACAATGGTCCCTTAATAAGCTGGAAATTAAAGATAATGAACATAGTAAAAACCCTAATACATATGGCAAAATACTATGTATTTATTTGCATTAATTTCGATACATAAGCTGAAAATTAAAAACCACCGAGTTTTGCAGGAGGAAATTCAAGATACAAAAGCAAAATTCACTAATCACCAAGTTTACCACATCATTTACAGTATTCTGTTCGAAATGAGTGACATGATAACCTAACTTGTGGTAACAACGCAAAGCCCTTCCGTAGCAAACCTTTGGAACCCTTAACCTTGTGGTTCAAAAGACCCTACAAAAATTCAATTTAGTGATCCAATCGAACTGAAGTCACGGTAAAGCTGAAATACCTCAAGATTGCTTTCAATTCAACAATCTCCAAATTTTAAGCAGAAACTGTCTAGCATCAATAATCACAATGTTATGTATGATTAAATGACACTTGATGAAAACACATAAATTCATCTAAATCCTAAAACCCTGAATTATTCCCAACATAGTCATAATAAAAAAAATCCAAATAATACCAGCTCAATAGTTTCAGATATGACCCAATTTTGCATAATTCAACAAGTGAATAACACACCTTATCTCGTATCAAGCCCCCAGAAAGCTCTAATTCCTAAAACTCAAATGACATTTCAATGAAACCCTAACCTAGGGGTTAAAAGTTTTAATTTTTTTATCAGAAAGAAACGCTAAAGTTATCAACATGTTGACTCAAACAAAACCCAGGAAAAAAAAACTTATCCATGATACACCAACGCTCTCTCCTAAAATAAGAAAAAAGGGCCACTTAGCAGCTTGTTTGAAAACTCTTTTTAATGTTGTTGGCAAGAAGAGAAACTCGATTGAAACTACATCACACGAATCGTTTGAGATTAGGTAATGATTGTACATACCTTGTTTCAAAGCTGAGATTGAGATGGTCGGAAATTTGTGACTAGAAATTGACGACAACAGCTTGATGCGCCGCGACGTTGATGATTGGTGGTGCAACAATGGTGCACCGATTTGTCAAGTATGCACTGCTAATTCGAGGAAGAAGATTTGGGGATAAAACAAATAAGGGATTCGGGCTGCAGAATTGGGGATATCTAATAAATTAAAGGATAATTGCGGCGTTTATATTAAAAATGCCACAAAGGAACTATTCTATTACGGCGTTTATTACGAAAATGCCACTAAGGGACACACTATTGCGGCGTTTATGTCAAAAACGCCACTAAAGTACAACTTTTTAGGGGCATTTGGTAACAAACGCCACTAAATTCAAAGTATTTTACGGCGTTTGCTTAAAACACGCCGTTATAAATGACAATATACAACTCTATTGCCACTACAATATTACTATTTAGCGGCGTTTTTGGATACAAACGCCGCTAATTACCTTTTATTTAGATAATATTAGTTTATTTTACATATTTCATTTCTAATGTACATCAACTAAATTGACTAATATATGTATAAACATTATATGGAGAGCTATTGTTGTTCCAGAGAAGAAGCTTTGAGGGAAGAAGAGTTTAATTGATTTTAGGGTTTGGGTAGGAGAAAAAGAGGACTATATATTTAACATTTTGCGGCGTTTATACAAAAAAACGCCACTATTGATTACACTATTGTGGCGTTTGTTAAAAAACGTCACTATTGATTAAAACTATTGTGGCGTTTATCTAAAAACGCTACTAATGATTAACACTATTACGGTGTTTGTGGTATAAACGCCGCTACTTTACCGATATATTGCGGCGGTTTTTAACAAACGCCGCAATAAACCACACTATTGCGGCGTTTTTTGTAAAAACGCCACTAAAGTATCAATTTGTAGCGCTACGATTGTAAACGCTGCTATATGTTTAACTTTTGTGGCGTTTTCTCTCCAAACGCCGCTAAAAACGCCGCTACATATCAGTTTTGCTGTAGTGACTTTTGGCGATTTTCAGAATTGAAATTTTCTTTGCAATTCGTGATAATGTTGTTTAATCTTATCTTCTATATTGTGATGCCTGCCTCTTTTTATATTTGTTCCATCTTTCCATAGCTGATTATAGATGACAAAACCCGAACCATTCTGTTCCTCCATTTATCTTATGTCATTGTACGCTCGTTGCTTAAGCATTTTCAAGTATCTGAATTTCTTGTGGTGCAAGGCATTGTCAATCGGCCTTTTCATGCATAATATTTCCAATGATTCTCCTACCAATGCTTCAAAAAAAAAAAAAAAAAAGCCTAGCTGGTTTTGAAATTTGATTGAAAATGGATGTGAAAGCATTTATTTCAAAGGATTAACAAGGTTCACCCATAAACCTAAACTACAGAAAAACAGTACATCAAGATGAGAATGAATGCATATTAAAAAGATGAAAATTTTATAACAAAAAAGCCAATAACTCTACTGATAGGGTTTATGGGATTTGTTTAAAGTTCATCACGAGATTCTTTTTTATCTGAGACATCCCCCTCAACCTTCTCAGCTGTCTTCTGCACGGTTTCTTCTGCTGCAGGTTTCGCCGTCTTCTCAACAGTTTCTGCTGCAGGTTTCGCTATTTCTCCAACATTTCCTTTACTAGTTTCAACCCTTTTCTTCATTGTTTCTTCACTGTCAAAGACGGAGAACAAACAAAACATGTCAATCATTTACCAACGTTCATCATGTTATTAAATTACGGCCTCATAGTATCGTTTTCCAATGTCACTGTGACCACAAACTGCATAGGTAACATAAAATCATAGTTTACAAAAAAAAAAAATCAAATCATGGAATCGTACTCTGGCTTGGGTGAAGTGAACTGCAATCGGAAATCATGAATGATTGTTTTGATTTTTTCCACGGAATTTTTATGGGCATTCTTCAACAAAGAAAGGGTGTTGGATACAATCTTGAAGGGAGATGGTTTGTCATCATTAGTGGTCTTCTGCTGCTGCTCACTTTGACTGATTACGGGTAGGATTTGATGCGAAAGAATGAGAAGAAACAAGAATGTGAAGCATCTTCTCGAGATGTTCATTGCTTAAATTTGAAAAGAAAGAAAGTAAATAAATAAATAAATAAATAAAAGCAAGTGTTGGGCATTTGACCTTAGCTTTGTAGTTTGTAGTAGGTGGTTTCGAGTTTGTTCACGTCCTACTAATTAAAGGAAAGGAGGTGTTTTCGCCTTGCTTCTCTGCCTCGTATGAACATTTCAAAATGTATATTTATATAATATATTTTACTATTCCGAATTATAATAGAATATAAAAAAATAATTATTATGTATTTTATAATTAAAATATATCTAAATATTAATTATTTTTTTATTAAAATAGTAATTCAGGTAATGCAAGGAAGGTCAAATACATTAGCACTTGTAAATTCCATTTGTCGTTTGATTCAAAAGAATTGAGAGATTTAAATTTGCAAAATTTCCCCCCAAGTAAAATCAAGTTGTGGACCCTTCGGTTAAATTCTATCAATATTTAAAAAAATCAAGGATAAATTAAATGTTTAGTATCTCAGCTATGACTTTTGTTTTGTTTTGGTCACCCAACTATTTTTTTAAATCATACCTAACGTTTACTTTTAATTTTATTTTGACCACTCACTGTTAAAAAATTAACAATGATGCTAACTTATCATCATAAGATAATTTTCTGTCATCATTAGAAAGAAATAAAAATATATCACATCAGTAATTTTGTTAATTTTTTAATAGTGACTAAAATAAATCAAAACGTACCATTAGGTGATTTTGAAAAAAATAAATAATTGGGTGACCAAAACAGACTAAAAGTGGTAATTATGGTATTAAACTTGTAGTTTACGCAAAAATCAGTAATCAATCAGAGCCAAGACTAGGAAATATTACATATAAATAGATGAAAGATTGAAATTCATAAAACGAAATTTAGGTTTCTGCCCCCTCGCCAACCTCTCTCCTCGAAATCAAGCAGGTAAGAAGCCATGAAAATCCATACAATTAATTTGTTTGATCATCACTTTTTATGATTTTATAGTATTGATTTTTTTCAGGAAAAAAACCCTAACTTTTTCAATCATGTCCGGTGAAGAGGAAGAGAACGCTGCCGCCGCCCCTTCTCCGTTTTTCTCAATACATAACCGAGTAAAATTATTAAAACCCACAATATTATTGTTTCTCTTTTGTTATGGACAGAATTTTTGAAGGCCAAGTGTTTGATGAATTGTGAAGTTGCTTTAATTCTTGAGCATAAGTATGAGCAGCTTCAGCAAATGTCTGATGATCCCACGAATCATGTTTCCCAGTGAGTTCCATCAGCAACTTGTCAATTGGGTTATTTTGTCTTCTTTTCCCTCCTTGTTTAATTATATCCATGTATTTGACTTACTAGGGTTTCTGTTTAATTTTGATGACATGATTTAGAAATGTAGCCGCTTTTAAAAATAAATTTCCAACATGGGGAAAACTTTGTTCCATGGAAATAGAATTAATGTATGTCTTGTTTTTATAACCTTGTTTCCCGAATTTCCGATTTTGTTGTATCAACTTTCTAGCCTGAGGGGTTTGTTTGGTGTGTATGATAGGATCGATTAGTTCAATTGGATATACCGTGTATATGATTGCGTAATCCTATAAGGGGGAGAGTGAAGGATAAATCATAGGCTTATGCTGAATAAAGAGATGGCACCTTCGTTATGCATAAGCCAAAACAAAAGAAGAAAAAGAGCAATCTACTTATTAGTGTTATCCTATCCTATTGTATTAAGCCCTTAGTTCCGTGCATCAAATTGGAACCTGGCTGTATCATGTGGATTCTCTGATGGGATATGGTGTTTAGAAAAATTAGCATGCCTTTATTGCAGTTTTTCTCTCACACTTGATGAAGTGAATGATCATCTTTTGTCTTTGTTTCAGAGTATTTGAGAAGTCACTGCAGTATGTAAAGCGATTTAGCCGTTATAAAAATCCAGATGCTGTTAGACAAATTCGAGAGTATCCTCTAAATTGCCAGAATTGCTAAATAGACTTTATTTAAGCATATGTGCATGTTTATAAACTGCTCTGGAGTTAAGCTATTTAGGTGCTCCTCTTCTCCTATCAGTTGCTTAGTTGCAGGACATCTTGACTCGTTATCAATACTTTTCTACAATCTGATAAAAGTAGATGGTGTTTTTTTTATCTTCAACTAATATTACCTCTCATGACATTGTTGATAATGCTTGCACTTGGTCTGTTGCTTTTCATATGATATGTAACATGCTTCTCTATTGTGAACCTTAACTGACATTCAGAATTCTGAGTAGATATCAGTTAGCTGAATTCGAGGTAAGGATCTATATTTGGAAAGCAGTAAGTTTAGAATTATGATGTTAATGACAATGTAGAAAAGTTCTTCATATTGTGCTCTATACTTATGCAGCTTTGCGTTCTTGGCAACCTGTGTCCTGAGACTGTCGAGGAAGCGATTGCAATGGTGCCTTTCATCAAGGTATGAAATGCTAAGCACGCTCTGTATTTAATTTTACAACTTTTGTTCCCATTTTTCTTTCTCATTGTTTTAGTAGTAATTGTTTGTTCATCCTTCTTCACTTGCATTCATGTTGAGAAATTCTTTGGCGATTCTCTCTGCCTACCCTTGTATACAACAAAACATGAGACTAATTGGATGCTGTTTAGATAATACTGTTCATCCTTTTCACATGCATTGTCTAGTATGTGCATAGAGGGATTTTGATGTTCCAATGGTCCCGTGCTCTCTCTCTCTCTCTCTCTCTCTCTAGACCATGAAAACAAGGGCAATGACTCATCAGATGCTATCCCACCTTTTGGGGCCAATTTGATTTCTAGAATTGATATGATCTCTTACTGATTTTAGCTAGAATTTACGAATAATTAAGATTAAATTGTTAATTTTTCTCAAACTTCTAGCAACAAATTGTCTTGGAAATGCAGACTAAAGGGCGTGCCCATGATAGTTTAGAGTAATAGAAAGGATAAAAGAAGAAGAAATTAGAATGGAGAGATTACAGAAAGGAGATACTTCATTCATTACTTGAGAAATCAATTCTTCTTAGCCATTGTTTTATTTAGTTACAGGGCTATAATGGTAATTTAAAATATGCCAGCTGTTAGTACTCCATAACAGCTCTACCTAACTCATATTCTCTTCTCTCCTCAGGTTCTGGGCCATCGAACTTGGGCTCATTCCTCTCTTGCTGGACTGCAACTCGGATGGTCCACTCCCTCTTGACTCCCACGTTTAATCTGCTCCACATCAGAAGGTAAATATCTCATTCCTTCTTCTTTTACTTTAATCCCTAAATCCCCAATTTCAAATCCCTCTCTTCCCTCGATCCCCAATTCTCCTTCATCAAACCCTAACCCTTGACCTCCTCTTCCTTCAATTCCTTCGTCATTTCCACGCTCTTCTCCTCCTACTGTAACAATACCCGCCGCTGGAATCGATCCTTGACCCCAAGGATCAAAGCCTGGAAATTGCCCTCGCAAAACAGTATACTCTTCCCATGTATCATTGGTCTCATCAAGGTTCGTCCATCGCACCAACAACTGTGTAACAAGTTTGTTTTGTCTGTTGATAATCCTTCTGCCCATCACCTTATAAGGTTCTATTGTCATCTGTCCTTCTTCGTCCATTGTAGGAGGAGTCGTTGAAGAGACTGCTGAGGGCCCGATGTGTTTTTTTAACAGACTTACATGAAAGACTGGATGTAGACGTGATGATTCAGGTAAGTCTAATCTATATGCAACTTCCCCAATTTTTTCAATAATTTTATAAGGGCCATAAAATTTCGCTGCTAGCTTTAAATTTTTTCGCAGGGCCAAGGAAGTCTGTCGATATGGTTGCAGCTTCAGGTAAATTGCATCTCTGACTGTAAAAACCCTTTCTGTTCTGTTCTTATCTGCTCTTTGTTTCATCCTGTTGCTAGCATTCTCCAATTGTAGCTTTACTAACTGTCTAATGTCCTCTCTGCTTTTCATTAAATCATGAACTGTCTATACATGAGAGTCTGTCTGCCAAACCATAGTAGGAGGCTTGTAACCATACAATGCCTGAAAAGGTGTAAGTTTCAGGGCAGTGTGGTAGGTAGTATTATACCACCACTCTGCATGAGGAAACCACTTAGCCCATTGCTTAGGTTGAAAAAAACATAAACCCCTTAAATATTGCTCCAAACATTGATTTACCCTTTCTGTCTGACCATCAGTCTCAGGATGGTAAGCTGTGCTGAACATTGTAGTAGTTCCAAGCTGCTTCATTAGTTCTCTCCAAAAGAGACTAGTGAATGTTTTATCTCTATCTGAAATAGCTAATTTAGGTTGACCATGTAACTTGTAAACATTATCAAGATAGAGTTTAGCCACCTCCACCACAGTATAAGGATGAGACAATGCCATAAAATGATTGTATTTTGTGAACTTATCCACCACAACCAATATACAATTCTTTCTCAAAGAAGTAGGTAAGCCATCAATAAAATCCATAGTAACCACCTCCCAAGCTTGTTGAGGAATAGGAAGGGGTTGTAGCAGTCCTGGTTTAGATATATGCTCAACCTTAGTTTGCTGACAAACTGTACATCCTCTTATATAGTTGACCACCATTGCTTTCAGCCTAGGCCAATAAAAATAGGATCTAATCCTCTGATATGTAGCTTGAGTCCCAGAATGCCCTCCATGAGGAGAATCATGTAGAACTTGAAGAATTTGGAGTCTAAGAGACCCATTAGATCCAATGTAAACTCTGCCTCTGAATCTTAGTATCCCTTTTGAATATGTCCAATTAGGAGCAGGAGTAGGTGTTACAGATAATAATCTGATCCAATCAGCAGCCAATCTGTCATCCTTATAGCTAGTTTCAACTTCATGTACCCAGCTAGGAATAAGCAAAGTAGTTCCCATGGCCAAACAGTTACCAGTATCTTCCCATTGCCTTGACAAAGCATCTGCTACAGTATTAGATTTACCCCTTCTATATTGAATAGTATAGTCCAATCCCAGTAATTTAGTCAACCCTTCTTTTGAATTGTAGTGGTCAATTTCTGCTCCAATAAGTAATGCCTCCACTTAGAAACTGCTAATAAAATAGCAAGATACTCCCTTTCATAGATAGAGAGGGCACCATGTCTAAGACTTAAGGCCTTACTGAGATAAGCAATAGGTCTGCCCTCTTGAGATAACACAACACCAATTCCTCCTGAGCTAGCATCTGTTTCCAAACAAAAACTTTTGCTGAAATCAGGTAAAGCCAAAACTGGAGCTACACACATAGCCTGTTTTAACAATTCAAAAGCAGTCAAAGCTACAGTATTCCACTGAAAATTATCCTTAGTAAGCAGTTGAGTTAAAGGCTTACTAATGGATCCATAGTCTTTAATAAAACTCCTGTAATAACCAGTTAAACCCAAAAATCCACGCAAAGACTTCAAAGATTTAGGAAGAGGCCAATTCTTCATAGCTTCTATCTTACTAGGATCTGTTGCTACTCCTGCTGCAGAAATAATATGTCCCAAGTACTCCACTTGGGTCTGTCTAAAAAAACACTTGGACATTTTTGCAAATAGTTGATTGACCCTCAAAATCTCCAAAACTAATTGCAAATGAGTAATATGTTCTGCCATAGAATTACTGTAGACCAATATATCATCAAAGAACACCAAAACAAATTTTCTAAGAAATGATTTAAACAAATCATTCATTAGTGCTTGAAATGTAGCAGGAGCATTAGTAAGACCAAATGGCATTACCTTGAATTCATAATGCCCTTGATGAGTTCTGAATGCTGTTTTGTAAATATCCTCTTCTTTAATTCTGATTTTCCAATATCCTGACCTTAAGTCAATCTTGGAAAAATAAACTGCTCCATATAATACATCTAATAAGTCCTCCACCACAGGAATAGGAAACTTGTCCTTTACTGTCAGCTTGTTTAATTGTCTGTAATCAACACAAAACCTCCAAGTCCCAACTTTTTTCTTTATTAATAGGCATGGAGAAGCAAATGGACTCTTGCTAGGTTGAATAATGGAAGATGATAACATTGTAGAAATCTGTCTTTCAACTTCAGTCTTCTGGGTATGAGGAAATCTGTAGGGCCTCAAATTAACAGGACTAGAACTAGGTTTGAGGGAAATAGCATGATCATGAGTCCTTGTAGGAGGTAATCCTTTAGGTTCATCAAAAACAGAGCTATACCTCTTTATAAGAGGTTTGAGAGCTGCAGGAACTGATTTAGGAGTTTCAGTCATACTCAACAAAACCACATGCCCCAAAATAGCTGCCTCAGATGCTGTCATTTTTAATAAAGTAGCACCTGAAATCTGCTGTAACAGCAGTGAAGGTTGTTGTCCCTGTATAACAATATTTTCACCTTGATGCTGAAAACTCATTGTCAGTTGATTGAAGTCCATCAAAATTGGACTATATACCCTCATCCAATCAACCCCTAAAACCATATCACTACCTCCCAATTTAAGGAGTCTAAAGTCGTGTATAAAAGAGTGCCCTTGCATCTGCCACTCCACCTTGTTGCATCTAGCTGAACTATAGAGCTGTTGGCCATTAGCTACTGTAATAGCTAAAGGATAGGGAGTTAGAACCTGAAATCCAGCATCAGCCCATTCTGGTGTCAAAAAGCTATGTGTACTTCCACTGTCAATCAAAATATTCAAAGGTCTGCCTTGTATTGTTCCTTGAATCCTCAAAGTATTATGACTAATACACCCCGTAATAGCATTCATAGATATCTCTAAGTTTTCCTCTTCTTGTAATAACTGCTGGTCTGAATCAATAGGAACTGATTCTGTAGGAATAGGATTGTCCTCTTCAATCATCATATTGAGGTTTCTTGTTTTACATTGATGGTCTGGCTGAAATTTATCTCCACACTTAAAACAAAGGTTGTTTTGTCTTTTGTACTCAATGAGAGTCTGTTTAGTATTAGAATTTGGGGAGGATTTAATAGGTAGTGGAACTGAATTTGGCTTGGAAGTATGAATGGGGTTTGGGTAGTGTTGCAACCGTCTTTCGGTTGGGCCCCGGAATTGGGCTTCGACTTGAAAATGTGGATTGATTGGGTTAGGAGTCGCCACCGATTATTTATTTAAGAATAAATAGGTTAACCGGATACCTTATTTCTTACATGATCTGCGTCTTACCAGAAATATGTCGGGCTCGGGAGTCGGTTACGGTCAAGGAAGGATTAGCACCCTTGAACTGCCCTTTCGGTACTACGTAATTTCCAGTTGTCTTTAAGTACGAAAGTCGAAAGTTTAAATGTAAAGGTAAAATTACAATCCAAACTGCTTACCTTTGATTTATGTGAAATCATCCTTAAAAAGGTCATGTAATGTGTTAGATAAAATGGAAATAAATAATGAAGAAAGTACAAAAATGAATGGAATAAAGGAAGTAATATATAATAAAGAAAAGAAATGTATAAAAAAAAGGTTGGGAAAAAAGAATATAATAAATGTGTGTAGAATATATATA